CTCTGATGATACTATGACAGCATTATCTGCTGTTGCATGGCCACACCCTGACCTCAATAAATACACAACACTCAGCAGGCTCAAGTTTTTCCGCCTGGCACTACAAAGAATATTTATTATTAATTCAGCAGCTGACTGAGATGCCTGCATTTTGAAGAAGAAGTGGCCATAGGGACCTGTCATTTGGACATTGTCAAGGAGAATGCGCATGCCCATTCCCCTATTGAACACTAACTATTACTGTTAAATGACCATTGATCTGAGGTCTCTCTAGAGGATGCTTCCGGTTCAGTTCTGAACCAAGTTGTGCTTCTGGACTCCCTCTCCCTCTTTCCTTTCTCTCTCTCTCTGACTCTCTTTCTTCCTTCCTTCCCCTTCCTTCCTTCCTTCCCTCCTTCCCTCCTTCCCTCCTTCCCTCCTTCCTTCTCTCCTTCTCTCCTTCTCTCCTTCTCTCCTTCTCTCCTTCTCTCCTTCTCTCCTTCTCTCCTTCTCTCCTTCTCTCCTTCTCTCCTTCTCTCCTTCTCTCTGGCTTGCTTGCCTTTGAAAAATTTGGGCAACAGAGAGAGAGAGAGAGAGAGAGAGAGAGAGAGAGAGAGAGAGACAGAGAGAGAGAGAGAGAGCAGGCAAGGATTCAGGCACACAACCCTGATAGACAATCACCAGTTTTATCACTGGCGTCACTGACACAGGTTTGGCCTGAAGTGTCCTCAACTTGGAGCTGTGTGTACATGCCCAACAATCTGGCACCATGACGAACGCCTATGATGAGCCTATGACGAGTGAGAAAGAAACACCAGGGACGGACCTTCGGGCACTCTTGTTTTTGCACCATGCACTCCAGCTGCGTTGTTCAAAAAAATGTCACACTGAACTGCTGCAGGGCCTTTATTATAATACTTATCAAAATTATTTATTATATATTATATAATTTAATTTTTCAATATAATATATATATATATATAATATAGTTATTTATTTATTCAATTATTTATTTACCTATATGTGCCTGCCCAGAATTCAGAGTGGAGTGGCCACGTAAGGAAGCCTCTGCTAACTCCCAGTCTCCATCTGCAAGAGATTCTGTAGCAGTGTGTCGTGAAGGGCTGGAGTGGCCTCCTCAACAACATGTCGGCTGCTCATGCCAACGAGTGACAGTTCGATGTCCTCAAAGGTCACTTTCAAATCCTGCAGGAATGCCCGCATCTCCACCTTGTACGTGAACAGAGTCAGCAGGAATGTCAGGAACTGGTTGGCCACCTCAATGTTGGCAAGAATCCTTTTGAGAGTGGCCCCAAAATTTCCACGTGACCAAGCTTGAATGACCCTGTCACGCACTGAAAGTCTGCCTGGGGAGTTCATCATGATTGGCGGTGCAAGATTTGCACGCGCAATCTGAGCGTCCACATCCAGAACTGGAGTGCCCTGACTCTCGTCAAGATTTCCCCGCCTTGCAAAATTATTGCTCGGAATGTGAAATCTGAAGAAGGTATTTATTACAATTATTGTAGCCTATGACTAACTAATAAAAATGATTAAGATGCAAACAACTAAGAGTGGCAAGGGGCACGACAGAATTGAAGACATCTGCCGCCAGTGCGAGATTGGCCAGGTTGCGTGAGCCATCCGGGCTCACGCGGAAGACCTCGTACAGCTCGCAACAGACAGCATACACCTGAGTGCATTTGTCCAGAGTGGCCGGCACCGTCAGAATGGCCCCTTCTTCTGCCGAGTAGGATTGTGCCTTGCGCCAGATGCGAATGGCCAAGGACCACACTTCATAGGCATCAGGAGTGACACTGGCCATGACTACAGGAGTGGTGAACAAAAGCTTATTATTTTTTTTGAATTCTTTCCTTCTGCCTACATGAATCGAAAAATGGTTCAATTGGATTGTCACAACTTGCGAAATCTGAAAGGTCTGGTCTCTGAGTGGCCGTGGCTGCTGAGAAATACAAGACAGACCATACACTGGCAACACGGTCTATTATGCAGGAAAACCCGAATTAATTGGAAATGCCTTAAATATTCCGGAAAGCAACGCTTATGAAGTCCCAACTCAACTCTCTCACTCTGCAGGTAATCATGGCTGGCAGGCGGATTCTGGAATCCAAGAACGGACTGCAGCTGCATCAGCGAGGGGCGGGGCAGCCTGCAAGTGCAGCACAGTTTAAGGGTTAGCACAGGTTCAATTCACGATCCAAACTTGTCCTGGAAATTGAAATACACTTCTCCAATTCACCTGCCTTCAAGGAACATTGGCCCTTAGATTAGTACTTGTGCCACTACAAACCCTCAAAGACTTTCAAATGTAACTGTTGTATCATTCAGTGCATCATTCACTCTGATAATAACACATCTTTACATGTTACATGCCTATTTTCGAAACACATTGCTCATCACATGTGTGTCGTCTACCTATCTGTCTTACGCAAGTTCTGGAGAACACTGCACAATATAATCATAAGTGTAATCCTGAGATTGCCCAACCTATGCCTGAAGAACAGGCTGAATCCGAACTCTGAACTTGCACATTTTTGGCTGCAGCAATCAGGACTCAGGAGACCTGCTGGGACTCTGACTGTCTGTCCTCACAGAATGAGTGGCCCAAACATTATCAAGTTAAGTTTCTCATTTGTTGTATTGGCTTATTCGTCTCAGACTGACTACTGAATGCCGTAAAGGATTTTAGATTTAGATACTATTCATTCATATCTCATCCCATGTCCATGGACAGACAGCATTAGGGTGCAATGTCAAGTGCCGGGCCCATGTGACCTCCAGCACGTGTTTGACTGCAGCCCTGTCGTCTCCAGATTGGCCCCAGGACTTGGAGCAGGACCACCTTTGGCCACTGTTCATTACACGGAAACATTTGTTGAACAAATCCTTGTATACGCGGTACCCAGATTGGCCAGGAAGGTATGGAGTAGCCTTGGCAGCAGTCCACGTATCCTCTGACCTGAAGTTGACAGGTTTCCGCTTTGTTTCAGTGGGAGTGGCCTTGGTCTTGGAGCTGCCAGTCCTGATCCGGCGAATAGTAGCCGTGATTGACTCTGCTGCTGCTGCTGCAGCAGAGCGGCCCTGCTCATCCTGAGCAGCTCCTTGCTCATCATCTTCACCTCCTGACTCATTGGGGTCAAGGATTTCATCAAAGGCATCTGTGCCGTCAGAAGACAGGCCCACGAAATCATTGCAGACCCCTGCTCTCCAGGCAAGTGACCGCTCCAGGACCCCAGCCACTTTTTCAGAAGAAGTGGCCACTTTCAGAGTTGACGCCACAGCTTGCTGCAAAACATGCCCCAAGTTGTCCTTCTTGCTCTCAGAGCACACAATGCCAAACTCATCCTGCAGGGTGGATTCAATGTATCAGCTCAAACTTGCTTCATTTCAGTGCACGCATGGCAGGCTCATGCGATGTTTTACACTGCAGGACTGTGACGCATGAAAGCGACAATTGGGCCAGGACTTAATTTCATGTTCTCTTTTTGCAAGCAATGCGTCATTCCTGAAATTATTGAATGTTGTCAGACCCTCTTGTGCCTTCAGGAGCCTGCGGATCATATTGATTCCCACAGCATGGAATCCCTCCTGGGCCACGTATTCCAAGAAAGGAAACGTCTTCTTGCTTCGTTCCAAGTATTGGCCAGGGAATTGCTCCACAACAAAGTTTGCCCCTGCTTTTTTGGCCTTGGATCTGTTCTGAATGGCCAAATGAAGCGGTGAGATGGGCGCAGCATCCACCACTGTCCAGTCTGTAAAGGCTGTAATTGCATGAAAACCGACATCAGCACGAGCAGGCACGCGCCAAAACCAGGATTTACCTGAAGAGTTGCTAATGTGTTCCAGACTGACCAAGGCTGCTGCAGAAGACCCAGGCCAGGAACCAAGTGACAGGTAGGTTTTGTTGTTCCTGAGAAATGGAAGAGACTCGCCCCAGGACTAAGGCTATGCAACTAAAATATAAGAAAAAATAAGTATGAAGAAAATAAAGTCAGATGAGCTTCATTCGCACAATGAGGCCTCTGGCCAAAAAAGCTGTCCTCCACATGGACATGACTTGACCCAGCCCTGCAGGACCCTTCTTGCATGCTTCAACCAGCAGGTGTTGCTCAGCAGCCAGTGCGCAGGAATTTTGTGGGGAGAGGCCTGGCCATGTTTTCTGGCCCATAACGTCCTTCAGCTTCTGCGAACTTGCCTCTAACCTTTTCGTGTTGTGGATGCTGTTTGGCAGCTCAAAAGTGGCCAGACCAGCAGGCTGGTCAGGATCTGGGTCCATTTCAGAGTAGCCAAAAGACTCGAATATCTTGCCAGCGCATAGCTGGGACCAAGAATCAGTGGCCGTGAAAGAATGGGCCTTGTTTTGACTGCTCTCAGCCCTGCGAAGCTTGCCAAAGCCTTCTTCATTGTAGGTGAACGCAAGATTGCCCCAGAGTTGCCGCATCTGGGACACAAACTCTTCATCTGCCTGCCAGTTCTTGCGGCAGGCATCTTTGGCCACGTCCACCACCAGTGTGTGGCGCATTGGACTCCGCTTCGTAACTGTCTTGCACCATGGAGTGTTGCATGCAATGGCCATTTGGTCTGCTTCTTGAAGGGCCTTGAGCTCATTGAGAACGTCCTGGGCCTGGGATACTCCTCCACACGCAGCAGCCAGCCTCATGGGAAAGACCACATTGGCCATCCTGAGCTGTGATATGGATAGAGTTTAGTGTTTTTTAATAACATTTCTTTATGGCTTATTAACAAAAATCTTATGAGTAATTTGTAGGAACAACTTTTCATATATGTAGACGTCCTAAAGTCCTAAACTTACCCATAAAAGAACAGACTCTTCATATTATTATTATTATTATTAAAATTATTATTATCATTATTAAAATTATTATTAGAAGTATTATTATTATTGTTATTATTATTATATATATATATTCTTACATCAATCCAAAAAAAATCTACTATCATGTATAGAAAACTCTCACATACATTTTTAAACTCTTGTCTTAAACTGAGACAGGGATCTCGTACATGCAGAGAAAGCGCGAGAGCGTCACGGCATAGTGAACAAGCCGCTCATACAGAGTGTCCTGGTGATGGACCATGCCGTCATCAGGTTGAAGCTGAAAATAGAAAAGAGAATTGCCAGCTTCAGCCTGGCCAATCAAGCCAATTGACCTCTGGCTGTCTGCATCAAGGCAAGAACCCATGATTTTGGCAAGAACTTCTTTGAAGTGGCCATTGGCCTGATTCTGCCAGTATTCCCATGTTCCAGAGCGGCCTCGAACATCACGCCGCACCCGGTTCAGTTCGTCACCTTGCTAGCCCGCTAACCATTTAGAGATGAATATCAATAACCCAGCAGAAACACAAACACAATGTAACTCTAGGACTGGGCTACCAAGGCACTGATAGGCAGTGATACAGAGAACCAGGTGTTAATATTCGTCACCAAATCATAGTCCAGAGCCAGGTATGTTACAGCCACAAGTTTGTTCTTGCACTTGCTGTACATAGCCCGCCTCTCGCGCTGGCCAGCTGCCAGTGTGGTTAGGCCAGCCCTTTCAGCAGTCGCCTGAAGCTGCTGAGTGGCCTTGACAATGTCCAATTTGTCTTGGCTTAGAAGATTGGTCTTTATCCCATAGGACAGCAGCACAATGGTTAGAGTGGCCATTTCCTTCCTGAGGATTTTCCACCCAGCATGGAACTCATCCCACCTCAACTGAAGGTCAATTTAATTTACAAAGGTGTCTACTTGACCAAACAAGCAGTGAAAAGGAAAACCTTCCATTCAGGTAATGTCAAGTCACCGGCTGGGATTGCCACTGGAGAGATGCTGCTTGTGGAATTTGCATTCCTGCAGCCAGCGAATGCAGTCATCCTCAGTGGCCTCATGCTCTGCAATGCCTCTTTCGTGAGCACAGCGCTCCAACATGATTCGAAAGAGGGCACGCCCGTCAGAGTGGCCTGCTGGGTGGCCATCATTTGAAGAAGAGGCCTGGCCCTGAGTCCTCACCATGTCCAGAAGTTCAGCTGTCTCCTCCTGGACTATCCTGTACCATTTACGGTTCAGCCAAGGGCCTCGCATCCAGGACAAAAGAATTTTGGCAAAACTGTACGCACTGGAGAAACCAGAGTGACTAATGGCATTTTGCAGAATTCTGTGTAGCCGGTGGCGTGGGTCGTAAAGACCCAAAAGGCGCAACTGCAAGTGATAGGTCATGAAGAATCGAGTGGCCACAGAATCTGTACCGTTGTCAGTGACGGTGACGAGAGTGGCCTTCTGCACAAGAGGCAGATTCTCGTCCCCCTCTTGTGGGGCAAATGCCATGATCCCAGATTGGCCGTGGCAAAGCCTGAGCACATGATCAGTGGCCAGCACCAAATCATATGTGCTCATGCGGTCTGCTGCCACTTTCTTGCTCCGCAAAGCCTTCTCTGTGTCCTGGTTCTCCCGTTCCTTCTCTGTACCTTACATTCTCAAATGGAAAAGGCAGAAGAACATCACTTATGCCCTCTGAACCTAAACTTGTATACTTAAACCCCAAAGCATGGAATAATCTCTCCTTGATGAAAGCTGAGTTTCTCAGCAAAGCCAAGCAGGCCTTGTCCAGATTGGCCGCCTCGTCAGCCTGAGGAACTGTCCCAGCTGGCCGATGGCCTGTGTCCTGATGGACCTTATTTGAAACGACATGAAACCATGATTGATTTCGACCTCTTCTGCCTATGCGAAGTTGTCATGATCCGTACTTATATATATATATATATAATAGAAGTGACCACAAAACCACTTATGTCACAAGGAAATGGCTTTTGGCAGGCAAGATGCCTGAGATGGACCCCAAGCACAGAGGCCACTCCTCAATTCCATGAGCCCATAGGATGTGAGCTTTCTACCTCCCACTCGGGAAGCATCGAAAGCCATGGCAATCTGATTGGCCCCACGGAAAATGTCCTGAATGCTCTTGAAATAGAGCTTGCGCTCTTGTGTTCTATCCTTTCTGGTCAGCAGCATTTTGGCACGGACTTGCTGAGCCTTTGCTGTGGCCTTTGCCAACTGAGACAGCTTGGTGTGGGGAGTGGCCTCCTGGGTCTCCCTTTTCTTCTTGCTTCTTCTGGCAAAAGCACGCTCCTGTGCAATGCGAACATTCCGAATTCGCTGTCCTGGGTCACGGTGGAACCCCTCAGCAAACTCAGCTTGGCCTTCCTGGAAACTTTCAAAATGCAGATTGGCCTCCACCATGACAGCCACTTGTTGCAAAAGTTGCCCAAGCAGGAATTGCCAACCAGAACGCAGCCGAATGGCCATGAGCAATGTCAGAAGATCCTGCTCTTTTCGCAAGCTCAGCCCACGGCCGTTTTTCCGTTTGCATCGACTGGCCTTTGCAAATTCCGACAAGCAAATTTTCCCTTGGACAAGCTCCACACAAAAGTTCTCTGCTTCACTGGAATCACCAGAACGCCCAGACTCGTCATCTCTCAAGTGGCCAGTGTTCAGATGGAAATGGCCATCTGAGGCATAATTGGCCAGCAGGTTGCGTAGCCACTGAATGGCTACTGGTCTGTTCTGCTTGGCCGACACGCAGGCTGTCAAAGCCACCAGTAGAGTGGCTGTTGTGCTGCCAAACACCTCGTGCATTGGGTGCTCCTTGTCTGCACGTTCAGAGCGGATTGGCCACAAAAAATCTTGAGGGTGATTGGCCTTGCCTGAATGGAGAATGTCTCTGCACATTTTGCACCAGGACTTCTTGCAAGACGACGTCGTCGTCTGAAAATCGGCAGCCTGCGAAAAAGCATGCATGCTCCACCAAAAAGAATGGCCATGGAGTGGCCGACTGTACTTCACCAACATCATGCGCTTCCGGGTCCGTGGAAACATAGGCTGGAGCACCTGTGGACATCTGGACAACAAACTTATATAATTATAAGATTTCAAGCTCTTACTCCAGTCAGTTATACTACGCCTAAGACATACTCATACTCTTCCTGCCTCATGCTCTTGCGACGGGTAAAGGATTGCCCGCTGCTGTGCAAACATCTCCACTAATTTAAGTTCAATGCCATCTGATGTCTTCTGGACACAATACAGCGGCTGGTCAGGTAGAAGCTTTGCCTTGTACAGCGTCCATTTGAAAATCTGACTCAGCCACTTTGTCTCAATGTCCTGCGATTGGCCTTTGCAGAGCGCCAAAAAAGCCCAGCCAGAGCTGCTGATCTGCGCTGTCCCCTCACCATCGAAAAAATGCTCCTCGCCTGTTAAAGTGTGGGCAATCCTGCACTTCCCACCACGCTGGATAACGGCGAATGTCGCCTGGTCATGCTTGACAACTTCACAGCTGCCAGCGTCAAACCGAGGATCTGGTAAAACCAGGGCTGCCATCAATTATAGATGATACCCCATAGCACTGTCACATCACATTGACTGTAACTTTATTTTGGCTGTATTATGATACATGCACTTGAGCTGATAAAGGCCTGCTGTGGCCAGGCAAGTCACCAACAACCATACCCAATGGCCACTGATTCTACTCAGGATTGCCCTTGGATCCTTTTCATCATGCCACAAACCCTGCTGCCACAGATTGCCCTTGACTCCCTTGACCATGCCTGCTGAGGCAGCTTGGCGAAATCACAGGTGCAGCAACCAGAGCCAACCTGGAGGCAGAACACAAACAGTGCTACTGTTCCCAAAGGCAGACCTCAGAATTTTAGAAAAAAAACAGATTTCACGAAGGGTCAAGGCGAAGGGCCACGAAGCCATGCGAACCCCCCCCCCCCCTCCCCCCCCAAATCATGGAATCGTGCAAAGCCCAGGAATGCCAGCAACCCCCGCGAACCCTCTGCGAACCCCCCAAACCCTCTGCGAACCCCTGCGAACCCCCTCACAAGGGATAATGCCTGGAAGCAGGTGTCCAAAGCCACGCCAAGGCCCGCGAAGGTGCACGAAGGCCTAGGAAGGGCTAACAGGCACGAAGGGTCAAACCCCGAACCTTACGCGAACCTTTGCACGAGGGTTAGGCGCGAACCCTGTGGCGAAGGTAACCAACGAACCCCCACCGTAAAACTGCGAAGGCAATGCTGCGCTCATACAGTCACTGAAGACAAGAAATACCTCTTGTGACTGAGCTGCCAGCACCAAATTGGCCAGAAGGGTCCTCCAGGCAATCATCAGCATAAAGCTCAGACAGTGAAGGTGAGAGGGACATCCTAAGCATGCTTCCTTTTTTGGTCTCATAGGCACAATGAGCTCTCCCCATCAAGATCTGCTGCGCAATGAGCAACTGCAATCCAGCTACAGCTGGCTGGCCCTGCCTGATTCCCGTCACACTACTATGATTGACCAATGCTGACAATGATTGACTTCAAGATAACACTTGACTGTCTGACCGTGTTGCAAAGGCAGAACCAGCAACTACCTGCCGTAATAGTTGTTGGCCATTGTGTGGGCCAAGGCCTGTACAGCAAAGTGGCCAACTTGTGGCATGACCACATTGCCCAAGCACAGCAGGCGATCTTCTTCGAAGATGTCTGTCATCCATGAGTGGCACTCTGGCGCGATTGGCCACGGCCTTCTCATCAAGGGATCTTGGAGAACCCTGAGCGGGTCGCAGGGAATGGCCTGTGCAAGAGTACGGCCAGCAGAATGTGCTCTGTAAGTTTCATATATGATTATGATTATTATTAATTGTTATTATATACAGTATAAGCATTCTGGACGTACAACATGTCTGCCACATCCTGCCTGCAGAAGGACCTTGCGCCAATACGTCTCCGAAGTGACCATGAGGAATACCCGCTGTCGCTTCACCTTGGACACTGTCTGACTGACAGCAACATTGCCAAGCCACACTGTCTGAAACCAAGAACAGATCTGGGACTCGAGCAGGGGCCTGCACTGCAAAGCCATTGGCGCTGACCCAACGCAGCTGGAGTGTCCGCCTTTTGGCCTCCTGGGCAGTGACAACAACACGCAGTCTCAGAAAGAACTCCAACTCCTGCACATGCACACAGGATCACTGCGCACACTTCATCACCAATCATGTGCGTCCCAGCTGCGGCGCGAATGTGGCCCATGACGGCGCTGGACGACCGTGACAGCAGGCCACTGACATTCTCTAGGAGAATGAAGGACCTTCAGGCTGTTGCATGGAATGTCCAATATTAACATACGAAAGCAACACGATTGTCCATGTCAAGCTCTGAGGTCGGAACGCGCCGACGGCATCAAAGATGCCGAAGACCTCCTGCAGAAGGCCAGTGCGAGGGTCCTGCAGGCCAGCCTGATTGCCCGCACATGATGTGCCCTGGCATGGGAACCCGGCCACCACGCCCTGGAGTGGCAGGGACGGTGGCATGTCCAGAGTGGCCATCTGGGCGATGCAAGTCTGCACATCGTCCAAGATTGGCCGGTTGTCCAAGACGCCATCCGCCATTCTTGCTTGCAGGATTGACCTGCAGTACACGTTGCTTTCCACGTAGAGGGCCACGTCAATGAATCTTGGTTCTTCGGTTGGGTGCGTCGTCGCAACTGTAATTGACAAGCAAGTACATTTTAATTCAATATTATCAGTTTATCAATTAAACTGATAATATTCTTACGCGCTTTGTGCTTGGGCAACTAAGACCCCTACGACCCAAGTGCAAGTTCCAGGCCACCCACGCCAGAGAACAAGGAAATCACAGAAAGTGGAGTGCCCTGAGTGCCCTGACAGGATTGGCAATTCTAAACTTGTCAAGACAATCAGTGATTGTGTTTGACTGGCCTTCAGGGAGAGCCACGGGCAATACTCCTCCAGTGACTTCGCAGAAACGTGGCCCTCAGGGTCAGTCCATCCCGGAGGAAGACCTGGTGCCACAATATTGTTTGGGAGAGATTGTGCTTGAATGCACCAGGAGGGCATTGTTCTTCCTGCTTAAGGGCCCAGCCAGACACCCACTCTGCAAAGGCCGGGCTGATGTACTCCTTCTTCCTGAGCCCTCTGGCCTTCATCTCACCATCGTATTTTGTGCTCCAATAGACCTGAGTGGCCATGTCCTCAGCTGCGAGCTCTATATGTTTCTAGAAGCACACGTCGGGCAATTCTTATGTGTGACAAATGTAGTGATACACCCAAGTCTCGCCACTTCCTCTGACAGAGAGGTATCTTGTGTTGGCAGCAGCTGTGGTCCGAAAGCATCCTCAGGCACAGGTCAAACAAAGGGTTCCATAAGAAGTTATGTCTTGGCAGCTTCAGTGATGAAAGTATACACGCCAGTGGCAGCCGGGGCGCGCAGAGTGCCATAACAACTCAAGATCTTCATGGTGGTCTGGAGTGGCACATTGATGGGTGCAGGGCCAACTGGCTCGTGAACGGCCTGTGGGTCCTTAATTGTATATGACGCTGGCTGCTTCTGCCGTTGGGTTCAATCTGAACTGAATAAGTGCCAACCCCCAAAAAAAGAATGATGTGATACATTGGCTTTTCAATTCATGACTCTTGTCAGAATTCAAGATACTCATTCTAACTTGCTGTGAGGAACCAACACGATCTGCCATGCGCTGCGGAACCCGGTTGGGTCCACTGCTGGCCTGTGGGAATGGCCAGGGGACTTGAAGACCATGCCCTGACCGTCACTCTCATTGTCCTCACTTGAAGTCACAAGGTCAATGACCATGGGATTGGCCATTGGGAGTTCTTCCTCATCGACCATCATCAACTCCATTGTTGGAGCAACCTACCTGGCCACAGACTACAGAGTGGCCCTTTGCTGATAGATTGGCCTGCGGTTCAGCAGTGTGCAGTGCACTCAGAAGCAGAGGCTGTGCAGACTGCGTGTGCTTACCTACTTGCCCGCTGGCAGCAAGGGCAAGAAGTCCTGGAGCAGAGGATGTCCAACAGCCAGCGCTGCAGGGAAAGGCCTGGTGCCAGCATGGTGTCAAGCAACAACAACTGAATGAAAGAGATGGCAGGCAGTGGACGTGTGAGCCATGTGCTGAGGCTGCCACAACCTCCAGCAGGCCAGCTTGGCCTAGGTTTGCAAAGGTGCAAACTGAACCTTTCCTCATTCACCTCAAAGCATGTTCGCTCCCTTTTTTTTGCGACGTGGCCCCACATCCAAATGTGCAAGTGCAGGAAAACAAGCTCAGTCTATGTCACTGGACGTTCTTGTTGTTCCATGTCTGTCCTTTGCTAAGTACAGAAACTTCGCTTGTGTTCCTGATTTCCCCAGCAGCATTGTTATTGACTGGCCTCAAGGCAAAAAACACGAAAAAAACAATGATTGTCAATGCCCTAGAAATCTGGGCAGAGGCCAGTCCAAAACCTCAATGCGCACATGATGATCTGCGCTAACTCTGAGTGGCCTCAGGCCCTTTCCGCGACCTTCGCCGGGGTGGAGACGGTGTTCTTGGGACATATGATTCAATGTCCTTGATTCTGGCCTGCAGGTTCTGAATCTTCAAGAGGAGGCCTGCCTTCTCGTCGAGAGAGGCCGCAACCTCATCCTTGAGATTGGCATTCTCCTCCTTGACATTGGCCAGGTCTTCCTGAAGTTCCCGGACTTTGTCCGCGTTGATCCTTACTGTTGCTGTTGAATTGAAGCACAGTGAAGTAACGCCAAAGAAAATCAACCAGCCTAGATTACACTAAACCAAGTGGCCTGGTCCTGGCCTTGTTGGCGCGGTTCTTCTCGTAGCGCCTCTGATTGGCCTTGCGGCGGTCCTCTGAGCTCAGAATGACCACAACCCCATCCTCTGTCACCTCTTCCTTGACCTTGACCTGCTTCTTGTTGACCTCCTTCTTGATTGGCACCAATTGGCCAGACGTCATGCTGACTGAAGAGGTTGCTAGAGTGGCCAACCCTTATGAGATAGGCAGCTGCAGCCGTGCCATGCAACGTGTCTGATGTGGATGACGGCAGCCAGAGAATGAAGAACACTCTCACATATTCATACATAACATGCCAAGCTCGTGGCGTCGTGTCCTGGAATGTTCTGGCCACCTGAGCGTAGCTCAAGCCCTGGCTGGGCCCCAGCGCCGGGCCCCAGCGCCGGGGCCCAGCAAGAGATTCACAAATGAAACTTTCTCATTTATATGCTAACCTTATATTTACAATTGATTTTCTGTTACGGGTAGCATATTAAGAATGCTACTGAAGACAATACAACATGCATCTTTTGTACCTATAGAATTTTAAATACCAATTAATTATATATCATCATGTAAGAATAATGATATAATTAATCAGTAATTATATGTATATATATATTTATATTTATTTATTTATTTCTTTATTTATTATAATTTAATATAGCTGAGTCCCAGCGCCGGGGCCCAGTGCCGGGGCCCAGCGCTGGGGCCCAGCGCCGGGGCCCAGGAAGAGATTGACAAGTGTAGCTTT